CCCCCCCCCGCCCACATACACACCAGTTAGCTCTCTGGACCTTTTCTCCTTATCTTTCTGCCTCTTCTCCCTGCCATGTCTCTGGCTCCCTTTCTGTCCACAGTGTCATTTTGCTGCATTCTCTTCTTTTCTGTGTTCTCTCTCTCAGATTCCTCTTTCTCTAAGATGGTATGTTTTTTCTCTCAGTTTCTGGGACTCTCTCTCACCTCCAGGGCCCCTCCTCCACTCTGCATAAATAGTTTTCTGTTTTACCTACTTTGGTCCTCTGTCTTTACTTAGTTCATATTCTCTGTCTCTCTGTCTCTGTCTCTGTCTCTGTCTCTCTCTCATTCTCTTTAATATACCTAAGTAAATTAAGATGTTTCACAGAGGAAAATGAAGAGTGACAGAATAGAAATACTCAATGAGAGTCCATAAAACACTGGAATGTGAAAAATGATAGCATAAACAACCATAGAAAAAGGTTCAAAAAGACAGATAAAGTGGTACTGGGTCATGGATGGGGAAGAAATGTCACGAAGACAGTCCCAGAATAAGATCTACAGAAGGAAGAGAGGGCTGGGGATAAGGCATATGCAAGAGCAACCACGTGCACAAGGAAGGAGAAAAAGTGAGCACCACAGAAAAAGCAGCAAAGAAGAAGGCTCATGGGGAGAAATGAAGCTAAAGAGAAGAGAATAAGAAATGTAAAAATTAGAGCAACAGAAAAAAAGAGAAGATAAAAACACTCATACCGAGAGAACAGGCAGAAAGTCCAAAGATGGGGAAAGAAAAAGAAAGAAGCTAAAACAAAGAAAGCAGAAAGAAAAGTGAGGCAAACAGAGAACCAGAAGACAGACTAAGACTTATTTAGAGATCTAGAGTCATTGGAATAAAGAAAAAGAGAATGCCAGCAAGAAAGAGAATGGTGTGACAGAGAATGTACTGGATTTAGAAGAGTCAAGGATACTCAGAGCAAAGTAGTGGAATGACCTATAGGTGAAACATTTGGTCGCGTAGAGAATCATACAGAATGAGCCAGGTAGCCAGGTACCCATGTATAAACGATGAAATGCAAACTGACTGAAGAGGGACAGAAGAGAAAAAGAGAGGGCATCACAAAGGCAGTGACTCATACCAAGAGATTACCAAAGACACCAACAGAGTCCAGAAGGGAAAAGAGAGCAGTGGGCCACAAAACGACAAAGAAAAAGAAGGGAATGTGAGGAAGGTGAGAGAGGGTGCACACCAGAGGGAGCCAGGGGAACACATAAGTGAAGCAGTGCACGTAGTCCCACCATTAGAGGAGCTGAAAGCAGTAAGCCTGTCAGATGGGAGGCCTGTCAGGGAGGACCAGACAGTGGGTGTGAATATCAGGAACTGGAGCAACACTGGAAACTTTTGGGTAGGGGAGAGAGCCACTTAGAGCAAACTCAGTACCCCGTGTGCCATGTCCTGAAGGTGGACAGGGCTCTCTTCCTGGATCTGCACAGCTCCTCTTAACCTCAGCCAGTGGATCTACACTCCAAGGATCTGATGGGACAGGGGCAAGAGACTCTAATGCTTAAGAAAAGAAGAAAAGAAGAATTGGGATTGATTCCCTTTCCACAGGTTGGACCAGTAAAGACAGAGAAGGGATAAGAAAAAAAGTATTCCAGACCCAGGTAACAGTGTATAATTTGATTAACAGGCTAGAAAAATATATACCCTTTCTTCTCGTAATTTTTGTTTTCTTTTTTCTTCTGCGGATATTCTCCGCTGTTCATCTTTTTCTTTTTGTTCCCGCAGCTTTCGTTGTTTTTCCTCCATTTGTTTTTCATATCGGATCTTGGACCTTCTTTCTTTTTCAAGTAGTTGTATTTCTTTATTAGCTGCAACATTCCAAACACAAGGTGTAAGAGCCAAGAAAATATTTACATTTTCCACATTAGAAACAGAGAAGAAAAGAGTTAATATTTCTCATTCTCTTTCTTAAAAACAATGATCTATGCTGATAACTAAAGATTTGTTATGTACGTGAACAGAGATGGCTGCTAAAGATTCATTTTCACTGGGTATTCATTTAACTCCAGAGAAATAAATTAGCTTAGATGACTCCCATCCTGCCTAAACCAAAATTCCAAAGAAGAAATAGTTTCATTCATGTGATATTTCTGCTGACTTGAGGTAAACTCAAGGCCCTATCAGCTTAAAGTACTGTACTTTAAAATAATAATTAAAAAAAAATACAGCCAGAATGTTTTTTTTCCTTCTACTAAGAAACTTCTTTCAAAGGCCTCATATCTATACAGACTATATTAAGTTCATTGACTTAGTCACATATCACATTTTGATGTTTTCCTCTATTCAAATTTCCCCTCACTTAATCCTGGAGAGCATCTATGCAATTGTATAATACTCCCCCCTACCAAGAGCTAGGAAGAAACGGCTCCTCACCAAAACAAAGATAATTGATATTCCATTTGAATGAAGTTGAGCACAGAACTGTTAGTGGATTTACAAGACCAGAGTAAGAAAATATAGTTGAAAAAGCATCCTCTCAAGTTGTAGAAAGATTATTCTTTTAGATCCTAACTGATAAAAAGTTACACTTGAGAAGCAAAGCGATCAGTGAAAGATACCTTATCTATGTTAGAAATTTTTCAGCAACTTCATTTTCATGTTCAGAATCATTTTTACTTAAATCCCATTCTGCTTGTTTCTACAAATGTTGAGAAATTTTCATACCTTAGTTTTCAGAAAATTAAAGCTAAGAGAAACTACTACTTCAAAAATTAAACAATTTAGTCAAATACTTTTCATGGGCCCTCTTTATCTGATTTAGTATAAGCATTTAATCCAATATGATGCATACTATAAGTGTAATCTATCATACAAACAGATAAGGAAAAGTAAAACCACTTTGGAAATAAAACCACTTCATCCATTTTGATTTTTTTTTAAGTCAAAACTGTACCATCTTGTTGTCGCCGCTGTTCTTCCCTGCGCTCCTTTGCTAATTTTTGTTTTAAATCATTTTTAAGAACAGATCCGTCCAACACTGAAAAAAAGAAGAGTTAGACATTAATAAGATCCCAAATTTTGATAAAGATACTTTGACATCTCCCAAAGCATTCAAGAAATCATACCTGGTTTAAATGTTGATCTTGAATTCGAGGGTTGAAATGGAAGAGAGCTAAAGCCGCTCTGATTCCGTCTTTCCTGAGCAATGGCATGAGCGGCAGCAACTAAAATACAGGGAGATAAATTAGATATTAAGAATACAAACAGCTAAAACAGGGTCAGCAAAGCACAGCCAATTGTGTCTTTGATGATAAAGGATAGCATCTCCTCCTTAAGATGAAGTCATGATGAATTAATCTGGGTCAACAAAGACATACTGAGTTCATGATGTTCGACAAAAATTTCACAAAGAATTAAAAATGTGTGCTGTGGATGTGCCAGCATATCTGTGGATATAGTTGTTTAGTGGGAGTAGCAGCACCAGTTTGTAGATGAATAGGAGCTAATGATTAACAGCTTTTAAAAATGCCTCAGATAAGACACTATGCCAAGTACTAGAAAAACTGAGCTGGCAAGGAATTGGAAAAAATGTCTCACCATAAATTGGGAATTTAGAAAACATTTGGAGTTTATGGATCTTAATTTGGAAGCAAAAGTGTCAACAGTGAGATCCTCAAAGGTTAGGCCCAATATTAAGGAATACATTTATAAATGATCTAGATCAGGGGCTTTTTACCCTGGCTGCATACTAGAGTCACCTAAGTTGCTTTTAAAAAATTTAGCAATGCCTGCCCCTCCCTGCCCCCACTCTCTTGGGGGTGGGGCCCAGGCCTTTGCAGTTGCTAAAAGCTCTATTCTGATGCACAGTTAAGGCGGAAGACCACTCAAGGAATTTCCAATTAGATGGTATTATTCTAGGTAGAAAAATGTCAAGCAGACATAAAATTATACAACACAAATTTACATATATCCTGTATAAACAGGCAGAAAAGTGGTAAATAAACTTCAATGGGAGGTGATAGGTGTAAAAGGTGAAGAGGAATTCAGTCCATAATAGTGTGTTTGCACGGTGACAGATGATTACTAGACTTGATGTGGTGATCACATTGTAAGGTATATAAATGTCAAATCACTATATTATACACCTGAAACTATACTTAAATGTATACCAACTATACTTAATTTTTTTAAAAAAATCTTCAATAAGGGTGAAATATAAGATAAGGGGAGCACCATTTGAGGGAAATAAAAACTAAAATTCTAGGATGATATGCAAACAAGTTATTACAGTGGTTTCCCTGAAACCTTTAATTCCACGTATGGCTGTTTCTAAAATACCCTACGATGCTGGGCATCTTCAGGAAGGATCTGGAGATTAACACTGAAAACTCTTCTACCCTTGTAAAAAATCACAAGAAATATGCTCCTGTGATACTGCATACAATTCTGGTTTCTATATATCAAGGAAAATATAACAGCTGAAGATGGGCAGTTAAAATAATTAAGTGAATAGGGGGCTGTCGTAGTATGCATAGAATGAATGGACCAAGATGTTAGTTGTCACTGAGGAAAGATATCTTGGAGTCATTTTACAAAGTAACCTTGAAAGTGACATTACAATGGCTGCCACTGGGATCACCATTTCAAAAAGGGAAAAGGATTTTTATTACCCCAAAGACCTAACAGTTCAGATAATCCATGACCTAGATAAATTTGAAGATTAAATTCTTTCCAGCTTCCTTAATAATTCAACTACTGGCAATTTTGTAGACCACAATTATCCTCTGATTTTGAGTACTAGTGTATTGAGAAAAATTCTTAAATACACACTATAAATTAATTAAGCCTTCCTATATACCGCCCCTGCCCCCATAACATTTCTTTGTGAGCACAGAGAAAACAAGTTGTTTTTGCATGTTTGGTTTTCTTGCTTAGAGTCCTAAGGAAAGTCCATATTTTGGCACAATTTAGCCGACCATAAGGGTAATTTCTCTCAAAGTGTACAATTTTACCAGACTTAAAGATCTTATTAAACAGAAGTAACCTTAGAATTAGCTATGGTGGGACTAATGAACCAAATCATATAAATATTAATGTGTTAATATAACATCAAATCTGATTTTTAGACCTTTATATTGAAATTCCTACTGGCAAGAAATACATTCACCAAAAGGGCAGATTCTAAAAATTATTTAAAATTTCCAGGCAATGGAAGAAAGTCTTTATATCCGGTCTTAACAGAGTGAACATTTTATTCAATTCCATGAATGAGGGTATTTATTTATCATTCATTTTAAAGTAACAGTAAGGTGCAGGAAGTATATACAACAGTATTTCTTTAGTTTTTCTACTAATTCTAAATCTTAAATTAAGGTTAAAAGGTACCTTTGCCTGGAGATTAAATAAGAAAATGTGTAGTATTTATTACTAAAACTGAATTATAAATCTTAATCTATATTTATACTTTCCTAAAATCTGCCATAACAAATAATGTATATCACTTCACCATATACGAAGTTCTTTTCATTTGTATTACCTTGGTAAATTCTCATAACAATCCTATAAAATGGATATTATTGTTTTTTCCCCTTTTTTTTTTTACAGACAAGAAAACCGAAGCGAAACATAACTTTCCCAGGTCACACAGGTAGTAATGGTGAAGCCAGAACTTTATTCAATTGTAGATTAAGAAGCAACTTTACTTTGAAATATTACATAATTATCAAGGACCAGATTATACAAAATCCACATTAATCTTTATATGAGTTAGTTCATTATTCTCTCTTCAGCTACCTTCTAAGGTTACTGTATAGATTCAGCAAAAAATAAATGAAATATATGGGTTTAGGTTTAAATTATACTTTGAAAATAAGCAATAGAATGATTTTTAAATAAAGTATTTCTCTTTTTCTTTTTCCTTTTTAAAAAGAAAGCACTATTATGCTGTGGCTAAGAAAGGCCTAAGTTTAAAGAAAAAGTGTAAAAGAAATTACAAGAAAATCATCCTCTACCAGGGGAAAACTTAAAATCAATCATCCTATCTAGCCCAATAAAAGCCTCAGAATGAAATAAACCAAAAATAGGTGTCACTAGGATGCCAAAGTTAAAGAATGCTTTATATTTACTAGGTTTTAAAAAGACGTCATTGAAATTTTGAAGTCCCTTTTGGACATAAAGCATTTTAGCTCATTACTGACTTCAATACAGTGGAAAATTTCTGCTTCTCTCTGGGCCCCCCTCCCTTTTTCAACACATGCGCGTGCACGCATACACACACACACACATATATACATACATACATAGTGATACACGATCTGTGTCATTAGAGCTCTGCTCCACTAGGGCAAACTAAATGCAAGAAAAGAAAGACACTCGATGACAACTAGTTCAAGAATGGTAATAATAATCTTCCTAAGGCTGCACCCAAGCACAATCAACCAAAATGCTTAATGTCATGAGATGTCATTAAGTACACATCCCCATACTTAGTATCATCTGCCAGAGATGTTGCTCTTGAAATCACTCTCAGAATTCAACATAAAATCTGTAGCCCTACCTCCCCACAACCTTTCTTCTCCAAGATCCTTTCTTCTGTACTCGCCAGAAATAATAGAGCACATAAACTATTTTTTATTAGTATTTTTATTAGGAGGAAAGGACAGTTTGGAAAAAATGATTGAACAGGTTTTTTTTTTGTTATAAAAAGGGCTATATTTGTGGCAAAGAACCATCACACTATGAAACTAATTTTACAGATTAATAGATCTAATACTGTTATTTAGACCACAGAATAAAAAGAAGCAACCACCACAAAGCGCCCTATTTCATTTGCCACAAAGTGGCAAAACATTTCATTGACCCTTTGTCCCCTTCAGGAAACGCTGAGACCTTGAGGGCGGTTCTGGTCTAGCATGTGATGTTTTAAATTTCTAATATAAAATGGCAGCAAGGAAGTCAACTATGGTTCTAAGTTAAACCTTTTTGCATAGCTTTTTAAGTTTTTGGTTTGAAACACTGTGAATACAAGCAACTGTCTTAAAATTTTAAAATACTTTTCAATGTTCAATATACAAATGTCTTTTTTTGGGCGGGGGATATCTGGAACGCTGGTTAATTTAAGTCACTGAAACCAATGTCAGAAAGCCTTAGGTGTCAATAACCAATAAAGCAATCTGAATTTACTGCAGATTCTGTAGGTGAACGATTATAAGCTGGAGACAGAAAAGAGTTTTTCTACCTATAGAACGATGAAAGTGTATTTGCTTCTGACACATTCTTTGGAGGAATTGACTCAAAGCATTCTGAAGTAACATAAAGCCTCTCAATCGCAGCCAATCTAAATTAATTGTTCAATTGCAAATGAAAAAAAATCCCTAAGGATTTCAATAAAATCAACAAGATCCGTTTTATTCAAGTTGATGTAGGAGGCAACTAGCCAGAGAACTAGCTAAAAGCAACCTCCCCAAAACAAGAAATACTATCTCGCTCAGGTAGTGAAGCAGTCTCCTAATTAAGCAATGCGCTGCAAATTTTACAAAGTTAATGATTTTAAGGGGAAAAAAACTATGGCGATGGGACCAATTTGGGAGAAGCACTCTCAATCAGTTCAGCCTAGGGTCTGCAAGATGTCTCAGGGACGGTGACATCTTAGCGATGTCATGTGCTACAGCAGGCAAATCAGGAGGAACAGAGAGCCAAGTTTCATCCCAACTTCGACTCCCTCCTCAGCGGACCTTGACCAGGAGGGCGCGGGAGGTAAGCCTGTGGGAGAGGCAAGGACTGCGACCGCAGGAAAGAATCAGAGCGCGAGTGCCCATGGCTGAGGGAAAATTACAACCACCGGCGC